ATATATATATACATATACTCTCCACGTATATTTTATAGATATTGTATAATATTTATATAATATTTTTTACTTATAAAATTATTATAATTTTATTATCTTCACTTATATATATATATATATATGTGTGTGTGTGTGTGTGTATAGAGTTTGTTTCAAATACAATTCGTTGTATTTGTACAATCAATACAACCTAATAAATTGATATATATATGAAAATGATGAGAGTTCATTTATTATAATTTGAATATTTATGGAAGATGAATATGGTTCATTAATTATGATCAATACTTTATATTATAAAACAATCAAAATTTATATGAAATCACATATTAATCAAATGAAATGGACGGTTGAGATTGGATTGTAATGGTTGCATAAATGTCAAGGGTTCTATAATAACCAACATCTATGTATATGTACTTATTATTATATTACATATATATACTAGTATTAAAGTTTCCATTTAATCCAAAATTTAATTTTTATAAATAATTAGTTATTTTAATGGATGAGATATTTATAAAAACCATTTGTATTGAATTTAAATAAGAAAAAAGTTCAAAAAAAAAAAATTAAAGAAATTGTTTCATTTTGAATTATTAAATTCTTTAACCTTTTTGATTGAATAAGTTGTTGAACTTATTTTATTTTAAATAATTAAGTTGTTGAACTTTTTTTATGTTAAATAATTAAGTTGTTGCATTTTTTTAAATAATTAAATGATTAAGCTTTTTTTTTTTTTTAAATTGATTACTTAAATTATTTTAACTTTTTTAAAATTGTATAATTTAAAAGTTATTTTATAAAATGACTTGAAAATGTGATCACTTTTACAAAAAATAGTATTTCAAATTTCTTGAGTTATTTTAATATTCTTAAAATGGTGTAATAAAAGATTATGAATAAAATAATATAAAAAATTAATTTCATGCAATTCGCATAGTTATAGTTATTTATAAAAAAAATTCATCCTTACATATATTTTTTCATTAATAAATTATTGAACTTTTAAAAATTGTTTACTTGGATCATTTCAACCCAAAAAAAATGCTACATATTATGGTTTCCTTGCCTCACAAATCAAATAAATGGAAAAACAATTTTTAAGTCACTGTTTTGCAGACTTTTAATCTATCTAGAGAGTTGTTAAATAAATTTTTTTAATACATAAGGATCTAATAATATTATTATATTAAATTTAATATGTAGTTTGATAACAATAAAAATAATAATAAATAATTATTAAAAAATTATGTTTTTAAGGATCGTTATTAAAAAAAAAAAAAATATTTTTCTTAAAAATAATTATTAAAAAAAGATACTGTTCTTTAAAAAAATATATTAAAAAGGAAAAGCAAACATATAATATTTTTTTTAGAAATTATGATTAAAAAATAATATTTTTTAGTATTAGTTTTTTACAGAATAATAAATAATATTTGTAATAATATTATTATTATAATTAAATAAAATAAAATAACTAAAAGAAATTAGTATAAAAAAGAAAAAGACAACAAAAAGACAAAAATACAAACAAAAACAAATGATTACATAGGAGATAAGGGTGTCATTAGCCTCCCCTTATTCAAATGCAAAATTGTCATTTCAATACCACGGTTTTCATTTTTCAACAATTCAGTCCCTATATTTCGATATTTTACAAGTCGATCACCATTAAGTTTCTGTAGGAATCTAACCACTGTCATATCAGACAACCAATGTAACTATGGCATTAATAGTTATGCTCTTTCTGAAGGTACGAAAGTAATTCTTTCTACGACGAAACAACAAACGATGGAAATGTCGGCTTATGTGGTAATCGTACTTCATCACGACAAGGTGTTTTCGAAACAGCTGTGGATGGATTATTGTCCGATCTTTCTATCGCCACCCCTAGAATAAGTGGTTTCTATGCTGCGGCCACAGCACCAGTAGTTGGTACAAATACTACCAAGGTTTATGCTATAGCACAGTGTGTCGAGAGGGTTACACGCAATGGATGCAAAGATTGCTTACACGTTGCATACGCCAACATCAAGATTTGCCCAACAGTTGTTACTGACGGAAGGGCTATTGATTCTGGGTGTTTCATGAGGTATTCTGCCTCCTCGTTTTTCGCCAATAATAAAACTATTGACATCACACCGTTTCTACGAGATGGTAAGACTTTGGGCATTCTTATGCTAACTTAGGGGCCGTTTACCTAAACATTATCTAATGACTTTGGGCATTCGCTGGAACTTTGTAAGTCATATATATGCTATCAACATGTGGATATGCTTCTTTAGTAGTATAAGGAAGATGAGAGTAACAAATTATCTAATGACTTTTAGGGGATATACGGCACCAGAATATGCAATACACGGACAATTGTCTGAGAAAGTTGACACCTACAGTTTCGGTATAGTGGTGCTTGAGATTGTTAGCGGAAAAAGATGCACAGACGTCCGAAACGAATCGGCTGGAGAACAATACCTCCTTGAGCATGTAATTAACTCAACAACGTTTAGAACTTAACTTTAATTGACTTATAATCAAGGAGCATCATTCACTAAACACGTTGAATTTTTGTTACCAGGCCTGGAATCTATATGAGACTCGCATGCACTTGAAGTTGGTTGATGAGACATTAGACCCAAGTAAGTACAGAGAAGACGACATAAAGAAAGTCATAGAAATCGCACTAATGTGCACTCAGTCACCTGTTTCTGTCAGACCAACAATGTCTGAAGTGGTGATGCTTCTAAGTGATAGGTCACGAGTACAAAACCCGCCAAGTAGACAAAACGTCAATTTAACCAACATAAGAACACAAACTGATAACTCCACATCTACTACCTTGTCCATGAGCAACAATGATGCGACAATCACGGAATTAACAGGTCGGTAATTTGTTACCAGGCTATGTTCTCTGTGCCAAGATGGATCTAGAGTCGTATGCAGAAGATTTGAAGTGTATGTTCATGCTTATATGATCATAGATAGTTCCGGTTTGGAAACGAATGTGTGAGCAATATGAAACATGTGTAAGAACTTGCTCCTTGGATGATGTTTCGTATACTTTAAACTCATGCTCATGGAAATAAAACTACTAGGAGACTTTTGTTAAAATTAAGCTAGCTATGGTTTGCTTATGTTAAGTCAAGCTTGTTGACCGTTAGGCAAACTAACGGCTAGTTAATAGTTAAGGTTTGACAGTTAAATAACTGTCAACCTTTGTGAAACGTTGTGTCTGTTTGTTACAGGGGTGAGAACCCTTTTGTGTTTTTTATATGCTTGTATCCTATGTACATACTAGTTTGATGATTCAATAACAAAGAAAGTATTATGTTAAGGTTGGCCTAGCATTGTGGTATCAGAGCACAGAAAATGGCTTTGAATTCAAATGGCATCTTGCACCCTCAACCTTCCAAACTACGTGGGAAGAATTATTACCACTGGAGCATACAAATGAAGGTTTTGTTTGAATCACAAGATTTATGGGACATCATTGAACAAGGATTTGAAGAACCTCTGGAGATAGATGAACTCACACAAGAACAAGAGAACGAATTAAAGGATTTAAGGAAGAAATACGTAAAAGGCCCTCTACATCATATATCAAGCTATAGATGAAATCATCTTTCAAAGGATCCTCCACGGTTTCTTCTAAGAATGCATGAGATATGCTCTATAGAACATCTCACAGGGAAGACAAAATAAAAGTGGTTAGATTGCAAACTCTTAGATGTGAGTTTGACAGTCTGAAGATGAAAGATGCAGAAACAGTGGAAGAATTTTACAATGGCGTGATCCTAATATTAAATCAACTCAGATTAAATGGTGAAGTTATAGATGGTCGAAGGGTAATTGAGAAAACCCTCAGGAGTTTGACCAGAAAATTCGAATATGTTGTAGTGGCAATTGAGGAATCCAAGGATCTCATAATTTTATCTCTTGAAAGTTTACTTGGAACCCTGCAGTCTCGTGAATTGAGGATGAGACAGTTTGATTCTACACCATATGAGAAGGTTTTTCAATTGCAATCATCAAATAATCAAGAGAGAGGCTGGTTCTATGGAAAGGAACAAGCGGAAATCAAAGGCAGAGGCAGAGAAAAACCAACCTCTCTAGTAAAATGTTTTCACTGTCAAAGATCTGGCCACATAGCCAAATATTGTAGAAAAAGGATAGCAGAAGAAAGAGACAATAACTTTATCAACATGGAAGAAGATGATGACACCATATTTATGATACTCAGTACTCCAAGAGTATTTGTGATAGTACAAGGTATGTTGATAGTGGATGCAACAACCACATTTCCAAAAACAAAGACATCTTTGTCCAACTTAATGAGATCCACAAGAAATAAGTAAGGACAGGTGATGACAAGAGGCTAAGTGTGCAAGGGATAGGAGATATCCTAGTAGACATTAAGAATGGCAATAAGAAGAAGATATCCAGTGTATACTATGTTCCAACAAGTTTTTATGAAATTGTTTCATATAATACTTTTTTCGATAAAGTTGTTTCATATCTCTTCCAAATATTAGTGAAGCCTTACTTCCAATAATAGCGCACACACAGAGACACTATCATCTGAACTGGAACATCTAAAGCAGCAAAATTGAAAATCATAATCCTCCAAAAAAAATATATAAACGTTGACCACAATCTTGGGTGTTCAAACATAAAGAGACTGAGGCAAAGAAATCCCAAGTCATGTCAACATGAACATAAAATTATAAGAAGATAATACAAGACCTAAACCATATCCCATGCCCCTGAGGTCATTACAAGTCAACAACCCTAATTAAGCAACATTACCTGGCGGAGCACAAAACACAACTCATACTCATAAAGTAATTTATGTAAAACCAAAAATGTTGCTACCGAACTTTAGCAAAACCTAATTTTTCACCCAAAAAAACCTAACACAATTTCGATTCAATCAAACACAACTCGCATCAAGATAAGTAATTCACAATTTCACATTTCAAAAGCATCAAGCAACAGTCTTAAACAAACGAATTATACACTTACAAGGCCTCGCAAATCGATCGAGTGGTCCAGACATCGCCTAACAATTACCAACAAATCATTCAACAACTAAAAACACCGCCTCTCTGTATCGATCAGTCGCACAACAAGAGCTGCATTGCCATCAAAACGCCTAAAATCAAAGTTAAATTCAACAAACCTCAGAACATCACAGTGGTAGCTAGTTAGTTTACAGAGAAAGAAAATCGTACTTGATCTTCACGAACCACGAGGCCAATCAGGCGGCAATGAATGCAAATCGGCCGATGATGATGATCTAGCCACGTGGGGAAGATAGGTCGAGCAGGTTAGTTTTTGACGTCGGTGGGATGGAGTAAGTTTGCACCCATGAGTGAGATTAATTGGGGGGGTTTTTACTGTGGTTGTTGTTCTACTGTTTCTGGCGGGATCGTTTGGTAAATGATTCGGTGACAAGCCGATGACATTCGGGTTGTACGGTCAACGATAACGTGAGTCAGGCACGTGCGATTTAGAGTCGGCGCTTTCGAATAGTGATTCTCTACCATAAAAGCATAAAAATTAAATGCTTTTTAAGGTTGTAATTTTGTGGTTTCGATGAAAATAGAATTTATGAGGAAAAAGATAAGAAGGGATTTGAGATTTATAGCAAAAATGAAATTCAAAGACATCAATGGAGACGGGGTATTTATTGACTCACTCAATGACTGAAACTAGGGTTGATAATGGTTGGTTCGGATTCAACCTATTTATTAAACAGATTAAAAATTTTAATCCAACCCAAACCATTTAATTAAATGGGTCCAAATTTTTCAATCCAACCCAACCTGCTACCTAAATGGGTTGATAGCGGGTTGATCTGTTTACGATATTCTTAACCCAACATGTTAAATAAATGAGTTGAACATGGGTTGACCCACTTAATTTAAAATTTTAAATTAAAAAATGACTAGACTATTTAATTTTTTTAAAATAAAACAAAACGCAACCACAAATACAAACAAATTGTTCAAAGTTTGACCAAAACACAACTACAACAAATATATTGTTCATAATAAATTGAAAAATTTTAAATTCTAAGTAACTCGACTTCCACTTTCACCAACCCAAGTTCACTCTTGGCATTACTTTCCTCTTGTTACCTAAATTGTAAATTCTAAGTAACTCGACTTCCACTAATGTTGGAAGCCTAGATAGAGAGAAAACCGAGAGGGAGACAATTAAACAAATGTTGCACGAAGAGAGAGCCGAGAGGAAGAAAAACGTTGCACGGAGAGAGAGCCGAGATCGAGAGGGCGAGAGGCGGACAACAGATTGAAGAGTTGGATTGGACTTTGAAGACGATGATGGAATAATGAACTAAAGAGTTTTCTTAAGGTTTCATGATGATTAAGAGTAATAGAAACCATTGGAATTTGGACTTTCGTCACGTAGGATTTTTAATTAAGAATAAAACAAAATTAAAAATTATAATATTCGATATACTATTAAGAATAAAATAAATTATATAATATTTTAAATGGGTTGGAAACAAGTCAAAAAACTCAATACAATTCAACTCATTTATTTAAATGAGTTAGACGGGTTAACTCATTTATTTAAACGGGTTGAAAAAATCTCAACCCAACATGTTAATTCTGCGTTGGGTTGTGATTGTATTAGCGGGTTGGGTCATTTTTGTCACCCCTACCTGAAACTCATGGAAGACTTGGGATTGAACTTGAAATCAGTCTTATATTTAAGTAAATTAAAGTCGTCCCACCTATTTGCTGAATAAGCTACATAGCATAAGTAACAAAAAAATTTGATTATTATTTAATTAAGTGCTAAATAAAAAATAATTTTTTGATGACAGTAATTAAAAAATATATATAAATTACTTAAAACTTTATGTTATTATAAATCCAATAATTTTATCATTAAATACTTAAAATAATTCGACTCATAAGTTTGCTTATTTTAATTCGAATATTTGTTATTAGACTTGTAACGTGGTATGATCACATCATTATTGACCATCTAATTCATCTTTTATTCCTTAAGTTGATGGTGAACGTAGTTTTCTTGTGACATTGAATAATTAGATTTTGAATATTTTAACTTTTTTATAAAATAATAAACAAATATTAAACTGAATTCTTTTATGTTAAAAATTTATAAGAAGTCATCTATTTTAGAATCAGAAATGTTGTTTTTAAAAGAGGAAATTTCATGAAAAAAGTAATGTATTTTAACTCGGTTTCTATTTTAGGTAATGTACTTTCAAAACATTGGGGATTGTCGGTAATCTTGCTTTAGTTTGAAGAAGAACTTGAAGGTGAGGTGTCATATAGTGATTGGATTGGAACAGTTCCAACTAAATCCATCGGACTTCAACTGTTTAACACCTGCCATAACACAGTCAACACAATCGTGTATTTAACTCACACCTTGGACGAGTATTCGTGCATTTCGTTGATATGTTTGAATTCCCACCAATATTCAAATAATTCTTTCATCATCTTTTGGTTTTATGATAAACATCAACCTCAGTTGTGTTATAGCACCATTTAACCTTTTTCGTTTGTTTCCCTGTTCCCGCATATTGATTTTATTATCTTCTTTTACACATTTCTCGTTTTTAGTTGGGTGATATATTTGAATGCATTTTTTGGTTGTACAAAACAGTTAAGTGCTATATCAATGCTACTGATTGATTTATCAGGTGTTGTACGATAAAGAAAAGGCTAACCACAAGTGTGGTGTCTGATTCGTTTGAGCTTGCCTCCAAAGATCAAAAGTATCAGAAGGTCTCAGGTTCAAAATTCAAGAAGGAATAAAAATCCTCTTGTGGCCACGGAGGTTCAAATGTGGTGACTCCAGGTTATCTGTAAATCATGTGGTCGCCCTGAGATTAGTCGGCTCGCATAGCGGCTTGAATATCCAGGTTAATAAAAAAAAGTTGAGAAGGAGAAATATACTTTTATAGATCTTGTTATTAACTTCTAAACAATTCTAATGATTTTTATCTTTTCATGTACGGTCTCTTTAACATTAAAAAACAGTTGTTTAATGTCTAATGTCTAATTTGCGTAAGCAAAGAATGAAAGATGCAACTGCTAAAGTTTGAAGGGTGCTCTACAATATTAGAAAATACAATGAACATCAACCAAAAAACTCAAAAAAAAATATTCTCTTGAAAAATCAACTAAAAAAATCTCTAAAAACAATGACATTCGGTTAAAACACATCGAACGACTTTACAGACATTTGATTCACCTTAATAACGCAACCGCTCATAAAAAATCTTAGATCCACCACCGTTCTTTACGCATTCCATCGAAGCCATGCTAAGGCTCATAGGTTAGGTATGAGGTGAAGTTAACATTAGAGCTCATATAAAGGTGGGGGGTTGTTATTCAATAACTATTAATTAATATAGATGTAAAAAAATTTAATATATCATTATATTATTGAATAATAAATAGAAAACATGACTTGGGACCATGTGAGACCAAGGGTTTTTCGTGAGACCCGTAAAACCAATTCTAAACCATTGGATTAGATCTACAATCTGAACATTCATAATCACAAAATTGCCATGAGATTTTTCAATAATTACAAAATTGTCACCGTGCAACTTTAGACCATTAGATCATTAGCTTATAAAGTTGATCAATGAACATAAATTGGTCTTACGGGTCTCACGAAAAACTCTTGGTTTTACGTGAACCCAACTCTAGAAAACATATGTGTATATAAATAAAAGTATATATATCACATGCAAATTTTCTATTTTATGTTACGCCTTAAAAAGTTCGCGTCCTCACCGTGGCGTGCAAGGTTTATGGTACCGATACGCCAATGCCTCACGCTATTTGAACCTTGATTTTAACATACGTTAGAGCATCCACTATGTGCTTTTTGGAAGTTTTTTCAAAAGTGAAAAACCATGAGGTGAGTTTTTCCGACATCGTAGCCACCTTTCTGTTGGAGGTTTATGGTGAGGTTTTTCGTCATAGGCCGTAACTGTACGGCCTGTTTTTCAAAGGTTTTTCGTCATAGGCCGTAACTGTACGACCTGCTTTTTCAGAGGTTTTTCATATATTATCAGTTTTAATTTTATAGATTTTTTATAAAAAAAATATTTAATCGGTTTTATTTATTAATTATAATTATAATAATCATATTTAAATAAGATTAATAAATAAATAGTATCAAATAAATACATAACGAGACTAATTATATTTTTTATTTATAATTAAATTAATGTCTTAAATATAAGATTTTTACAGATTTCTTAATAACTCAATTTTTATTTTATATATATATATATACTAGAAGCGTACTCGCACAATTCAGCGAGATACATCATGATTTTAATATTTCATTTTATTCCTTATCTCAGTCGATGTTATAATATGACTTTATGTGATTTTAAGAAAGCGGTGATGTTTTTATTTTTGAATAAAATATATGTTTGAAGATATCATAAAAATTTGACAAAAATATATCGATATTAGTATCAAATTAACTATTTGAAAT